AAGGAAGGAAGGAAGGAGTGAAGGAAGGTAGGAAGGAAGAAAAAAGAAAGGAAGGAAGGAAGAAAGGAAGGTAAGAAGAAAGGAAGGATGGAAAGAAAAAAGAAAGGAATGAAGGAAGGAAAGAAGAAAGAAAAAATGGAAGGAAGAATGAAAGGAAAGAAGAAAGGAAGGATGATAGGAAGGAAGGAAGGAAGAAGAAAAAAGAAAGGAAGGAAAGAAGAAAAAAGAAAGGACGATAGGAAGGAAGGCAGGAAAGAAGGAAGGCAGGAAAAAAGAAAGGAAGAAATGAAGAATGGAAAGAAAGAAATTAAAAGTTAAGAGGACAGAAAGAAGGAAAAGAGAACGGAAAGAAGAAGAAGAAGAGAATACAGAAGGAGGAAGTTGGTTAATAGGAAGTCAGATTGGAAGTTTGACCCAAAGAGGTCAAGCAAGTAGGCGTTTGTGTGAGCGTAACCGGCTGACAGACAAAGAGACGGACGGACAGATCACACTGCTGTCTTCTGACCTGTGAGGCTCCGCAGTCGGAGCGTCCTCAGTCCCTCTCCGTTTAACGTGTTGTCAAGTACGGCCAGTGCGTAGCTGGAGTTGTACAGTTGGCTGCCACGGATGATTCGAAGGTTGTCCAACGGCACCAGAGACACCGAAACATGGGATACAAGCACGTAACCCTGCACTTCCACGATTCCCTGGGTGGGGGGGGGATAAGAAAATACTGTAAATCATAATGATCATAACCCCCAATGGGTGTGACCCATTAAATACAGCGCACTGACGCAGGTGCAAACAAATTTTTTTTTTTTTTTTTTTTTTTTTAATATTTTCCCTCGTCAGTTTTCTATTGAAGCGGTACGGCACATGATAACTTACACATACCTGTAAAAAGGAGAGGTCAGGGTCTCCATGAAGATGCGTAATCTCCAGGTTACCGTGCACCACTTGGCAGCCAGTGTAGAGCAGCTTCAGGGTTACATAGTGGTTTTCCAGGCTAGAGGGCAGGGCCAGTTTCATATCTGTACCGAGACATACTGCAAAAAAGTAGAAGAAGAAGAAGAAAAATCACTCTCATTGCACACAAGAGAATCTGTTCTCTGCATTCAGCCCATCGATCCACAGATGGAGAGTAGTGATCGATATCAGAAGCGTCCGGGTTAGAAAGCAACCACGACATTTGAACTTTGGCCTTCTGATAACACGCATACCACTTTACCGCGTATTGTTTTCTTGTCGTCTAATTGCACTTGGGATACGATAAAATGCCGTATTTTCAATTGCAACGTGTGCCATTCCAAGATGGTCACTAAAAATAATGGTACCTTCACTCAATACAGCGCAACACGACATCAGTTTGTGCTGTCGAAACATCCAAGCGCTGCACCTGGCCGCTTAAATTTTTTTTCTTTCCGTGTAAAATAATTCCACACACGCTGACATGTTAACAACGCAGGGCTAATCCACTGTCACTCATCTTCTAGCTACTGTTGACGGCACATGACGCAGCAGCAGCAGCAGCCTCTCAGGTTAACATCATGTTGAGCCAAAGTCAAGCTGAACATTAACATTATTTGAACCAACAAAAAATGACACTTCAGTTTTTTTTAGATTTGGACTGTAAGCAAACTAGACTAGGGCTAACCAGTCCAGGCGTGGGCAACCGTTTTTGACGCGGCCTAAGAATTGTACAGGAAAAGTCAGAAAATGCTAAAATGCTTTTATCATTTACGTTCGGACTCGCGGCCTAAGAATTGTACAGGGAAAGACATAAAATGCTAAAATGCTTTTATCATTTTCTACGCCATCTGTTGGGGAAACGTGGGTATTGCAGGGAGAGAAAAAAAAGGCAGGAGTATAATGGTAATATAAATAAATGATTACATAATTATGGAAAAGTTTGGGCCGAAATAAAAAGCCGAACGGGCCGCATCCAGCCCCCGGGCCTTAGTTTGCCCACGCCTGAACTGGACTCCTGTAATAATTGTACGTTTTTGATTTGAGTAATAGCTTCAAAGAGGCTTAAAACGGTGCTGTGAAACACACAGCAAAGGGCCCTGTGTGAGTCTGTGCCTCAGTGTGTAAGATATATTTTCCACTGGCAGCAGGCAGCACAGATTCCCCCACAGTGGGTCACACATAGCATTACTTTCAGGGTCATACAGCGTTACGATTCAAGGGGGGGGGGGATCTCACAGGACACATAGCTCCCATTCTTTAGCAGCCAGTCACACAGTGGACAGTCCCCCCTGTACGGAGGTTATAAATGACTTCCTTTGGCTGCTTTCCAAAAGCCCGTCAGCTCCCCACCCCCTGAATCCTCCTCTCAGCCCTATCTTAAGTCTCTCCCCTTTTAGAACAGATACAGTATACACACACGCATCATCTGCATAAAAGGAAGTCGCTGGCCAGCTGCTGGGAGTGACTAGGCCAATAAAGCGCATATTACAAGTTGACCAGACGTGCAGTGGTGTGTGTCCAGTACCGTTGACAGCGAGCTACTGCAGCAAAAGGTAATAATGAGGCCGTCCAAAAACTACACACACACGCAGGCAGAGGTCTGCATGTGTCAAATCAAATGAGTAATCGACGCCTTCTTCGTGGATGTCATCATGGAAAATCATTTTAGACTTCATGCCAAGTGGGATGTGAGGAGTTCAACAAAAATTTGAAGCATTTGTGTGGGGGGGAAAAAATGTCACAACATAAATGAAAATCTACCTATAGAATACAAACCTCACCCATACTGACAGAATAAGGAGTAAGTGAGCGGGGCTCAGATTTTTTTTTTTTTTTTTTTATTGTAAAAAAAAACTGTTATGTAACACCAGCTCTTAGCGTTCTTTCTCCCCCCCCCCTCTTTATTGTTTGCTCTCCAAAAGTCTCTCAGCAACGGCTTTGAATGAGTGCGGGTCTGTTGGTGTGTTTGTATAGTTTTGTGAGGAGATGCTAAGCCCAACCCCCCCAACTCCTCCAGGCCAAAGGTCTAAAATCCTCTCTCTTTTATCACTTTGTTTGCTCTGCGTGTCTGCTGTCGAGCCACCGTCCTCACCTTCTTCTCCTAAACACTGAGTAACACCTGAAGTGAGAGCCAAGTTATCTCATAGCTTCCCACCTACATCCTCACCCCTCGGTGTTATTCTAAGCCAACGGACTGTTGCCAAACTCTTTTTGGATTCTGGATGGTGTCATTTTACAGGAATGCGTTTCCTTCAGGACGACACAAATCTCCTTGTCTGTGAGGTCACTCATCACTAATGCAATTAATGTAGTATGGAGTAAGTCAAAGACCATCGAAACGCCAGAGACACTAGACATTTGAAAAGAAATCAGACAAAAATGAGCGGGTTAGCAATCGGTTAGCATTGACACGATCGGCTTGACCATTTCAGGGCACGCCATTTAACTTTGCACGACACGCACTTTTTCCCTTCACGCCTCTTGTTGATCACACTAGATCATTGTTTCCCAAAGACTGGGTCGCGACCCTCGGGTGGGTCGCGAGAGATTTCTTTCTCGTCTCGCATTATGTTCCCGAGGAGTTTACGAATAATGTCTATTGACTTGGGTCGTGAAGGTTTGTGACTTTTAAAATATTGCTCCCCAGAAAAAAAGTTTGGGAAACACTGCACTAGACAATTAACGTAAATGCTAATGCTAGCTTAGCTGTTTTTTTTTACTACGTTCGAGGACAACAAAGCTACAGCAATTTGCAATACCTGATCAGTCAAACTTTAGAGAGAAAGGGGGGAAAAAAAGTCTCTCAGCTTGAACACAACAAATGTAATAAGTCACTTAAAGGTTTGCTATTGTAACAGAGCTGAACTGAGCGCGCGGTGTGTGCGCGCGCAAGGGTTGTTCGCTAGAGTTGAAAAGACTAAGGCACGTATTTGAATCATTCACTTTTAGCTTTATCTCTTCAAGGTCACACCTACTCTACTGTACATGTATATATTTGCTAATAACTGATTGCATTTGTGCCGTACATTGATTTATGCATACTATATATATATATTGATCTTTACTCCAAAACACACATTGAGTTACTAACAGCAGGTCAGTTATCTCCCATGCTAACCCCGGTAGGTGCACGGACGTGCAAATGAATCAAAAAGATAACGATTGCTATAAATCTCAAATCAAAATAACAATGAACAATGACTGGAATCGATTCAACTCCATATCAGCAATGTTCACAGGTGGGTTGAC